AGGCTTTTTTTGCCCCCATAGCTGCAGGGGTGAAATGCTCCCGGTCAGACCGGATCGCCCGATCCAGTAGCGATGGTGGTGGGGGTTCGGAGAACCGGTAGCAAAAATCCCTGTGCCCACCCCCCCATGCCCAGCTCAGCCGCGCGATCATCAGAGGCTTTTTTTTAACTTTTAAAAGCATTTTTTCTACAACCTTTTAAAAGTAAAAAAAAAAAAAGCCTCTGAAGATCGCAGAGCTCAGCTGGGGTCGTCAGAGACTTTTAAAAGCATTTTTTTCGGCCAAAGAGGTTGTAGAAAGAAAAATGCCTTTAAAAGCCTCTGGCGATCCCAGCTGAGTTGCCTGATCGTCAGAGGCTTTTAAAAGCATTTTTTTCTGCAACCTCTTAAGGATGTAGAAAAAATGCTTTTAAAAGTTTAAAAAAAAAGTTAGCCACACCCACAGAACCGGTAGTAACAAATTTTACATTTCACCACAGCTTAAAAGTACTTATTAAAAGTACTTATGTGGATCTTCACATTTTCCAAATTTTAAAAAACAAACAAAAGATTGTGCATAAAATGATTGGTCCTGTCATCACAATGTTGTCAGAATATTCCTGCAGCATTCAGGCAAAGCAGAGATCCCATATGGGAAAAACAAAATCTTCCATTTTGTTCTACACCTTGAGAAGTACAAAATGGCAGAGCCCAGAGTGAAATTTCGCCCTAGATTACTGGACAGCTGTCCTTCAAATATAATAAGCAGGAAATAGGTATGAAATTCTTTGAAGTAGAAATTTCTCCAAAAACATAATTTGCAAGTTTTATGTTAAGTAGTTTTGAATACCTAGAGGTTAATAAGTGAAGTGGCTATCATTGATGCTCAACACAACTTGGTGTATAATTTTAGCATGGGATCAATCTCTAAAGGGCCATAGGTAAATAAAATAATGGCATTAAGCATGTTCAGTAAGGCTAGTGAGAATGTGTATTATTGACTGTCAAACTGGAAGAATGAATGAAAGAGGCTAAGGAATGAAACCAACTGCTTTCCATTGAATTAAATAACTTTACTAATAAGATATATCTATCATACAGTTTTCATTTCATGTGACAAAAAAGATCATGAAATGCTTTATACACAAAATGTTAAGTATGTTTACTCAAATTAAGAATTAATGGGCAAATAAAAAAATGTTGGAACAATTGATTCATCATAGAGAGTAGAATATTATATGCAAAGTGATTGACTGTCTTTACAAGGCAAAGTAATGATATAAAAAGTTTTTTTCTTCAGCTGTCTCCAGACTATTACTTTTTTATTAATAGGATTTGAAGTCACCTATAATTATAACACTTAAAATTAGCTCATTGGTGGTTATTGGCAGACTGAGAAACAAATAAGTAACCCCCTTTTGTGAAAAATAATTTTTAAAAACCAGATCCTTTGTTTCATTAAAAACACCAGAACATAGACATTTTTATACTTTCAAATTTATAGGATTTATACACATAATTGACTAGATCATCTTACACCATTTGCACCGAATAAGTGCTATTTCAAGGTTTGGTTGGTTGAGGTTTTTTTTTTTCCCCTGAAGTGCAATATTTATTTATTTGGCTTTAACAAGACACATTTGTTTCTTGTGCACAGCACTGGTATTTTAAGTAGGAGGAGTTCAAGAGTCACTATTTTTTGTTTAAAACTTGTAAGACTTTGCACAGGTGTGCTAGTATTGTACTGTATAGCATCACATACTTGAGTTTTGGAAATAAAAACATTGTTTCAGAATCTTTTGAGTTACTCGTATGTGATTTATACATTTGGTGTTTGTGCATATAATAGCAATTCCTGTAGAAAACACATTTAGAATAGAATAGAATAGAATAGAATAGAATAGAATAGAATAGAATAGAATAGAATAGAATAGAATAGAATAGAATAGAATAGAATAGAATAGAATAGAATAGAATAGAATAGAATAGAATAGAATAGAATAATCAGCATACATTAAAATGAAATTTCATTGCATTGCATTCAGCTCTCAAACCATTCGATAACCATTATGCTTATACCCACATACACACACATATGACACAGAGGAATTTTAGTATGAACATACTAAGATTTTTATTCTGCCAGATTTTGCTTTATTGGCATAGAATAAACATTGAAGTTCACAATTGTTCTGTCTTCATAGATAGGAGCCTTTCCCATAAACCGACAAGGAAGCAAAAAATGATGATTATTCATTTTCAGATTTCCTTTGTGTTTTAAAGGCGTTTTGTATCATTTCTGGACAGGGCTGGCCGAGAACATTTTGTTGTCTGAGGCAAAGCAAGTGGTACCTCCACCCACAGGATGCACGGTACCTAAGGCAACTTTGGAACAGAGGTCAGAAAACCGAGCAAACACTACTTTCACTTAATATATTTGGGAAATGATATGATTAAATGTTGCTCAATTAGAACTCCCAGTAGCCTCAACTAAAATGGTGAGAGAAGTTGGGATTTGTGGTTAACTAACCCCTGGAAGCATTGTTTCCCCAGTCTTAAGCTACATAATGGTGTCAAATAGTAATGGTCAATTTTAGAATGTGGTCAAGTAGCATAGTGTGGAGAACAGACTGTCTGGTCAGAGATACATAAAAAGGATTTTTTAACGCACCTGTTTACTGAAAAATAACAAGAACATTAATTAACTAAAATATACCTAAAAATATAAAATTCTATTGGTAACATAGGATATTAAAATGGATGGAACATGGGAAATTAAAAGCTCACCCTAAGTAAAGATTTTGGGCTTCACAAGAAATGGAGGACCTCTTCTTTGGCATATTTCTGGACAAGGCTGGCCGAGAACATTTTGTTGTCTGACATTCTTAATTCTGGGAGCAACAACCAAGAAAGATCTGTCTTGTGCCAAAACTGGCCAAATATGTATATTTAATTTGGATATTTTTTGTGCTTTTATGGTTTTAAAATGTTTTAGATTTTTAATTGTCAGATTTTTTTTAAATTGTAAGCCACTCAGAGCCATTGTCAAGGATGGGTGGCTATAGAAATTGGTTGGTTGGTGGGTGGGTGGGTGGGTGGGTAGGTGGGTGGGTGGGTTGGTTGGCTGGCTGGCTGAATGAATGAATGAATGAATGAACGAATATCCTCATTGCAGTTTCCTAAGTATATATTTTCCCCTTTTTCTGCATTTGCACAATTTCTATTTTTTTGTTAAATCTGAAGACCAGCTTCTATGATGGGAAACAGTAAGAAATGTAGCATGCATATGCTACATTTGGGGATGTTGGTTTAGAATATCCTGACATTTCTCCATCCATACTGCTGCCAGTAATCTTCCTTATTGGCTTTGGAGGGTCTTGGCTGCTGGAAATTGTAGCAAGTATCATCTACAGTACACAACTATAATTTTCCCACCTGTTTTAAAGTTTCTTATTTACGTTTTCTGTCTCAGTAGATAGTGCACCTAGTTGACCTTGGATGATTCAGGAAAAGGTAAGTAGGGTTCTTCCTGGTTAATAGTAGGTTGGAAGACTAGCTGTATGTTAAGCTAGAAAGTCAAAAAAACTTCCAGCATCAGGCAATGGCAAACCACTTCCATATTCTTGTCAAGAGAACATATAGGCTTCATGCAGACCCCAGCCAGTAGTTCTTAAAACTAATGGTAGTTACCTCTAAAGCAGGCGTGTCAAACTCGATCTCATTCAGGGTTGTGTTTGACCTTGGGGGGCCAGGGTAGGTGTGGCCAAGCTGACATCACTCAAGTCAGGGGAGCCTGTGATGGTTCGAGTACTCTGTCAGTGAAAACGGGTTCCTGAGCTCCGTTTTCTGCTGTGATGGCGTCCTGCAAACTTCTGCCAGTGAAAACAGAGCTCAGGAGGGATGCTCCATTTTCTCTGGCAGAGGCACCGCAGGCCGGTTTTTTTGCTGTTTCCAGGACAGCCCTGTAGGCCAGATCTAAGCACCCTGCAGGCCGGATCCGGCCCCCGGGCCTTATATTTGACACCCCTGATCTAAGGGGTTAATTTGAGCATATCCTGGAGGTAAAGAGAACCCTTTTATTTGCTTGTTTGTAAATAAAAGATTGAGTTTTGGACTGCTGCTACTGAAATGCTTGTGTGAAACAACAGCCTGGTTTGGTGATACTGCTGCTGGTGAATTTAATGACATTCAACACTAAAAAAAGAGAGAGTATTTTGGTCAAACAGTTTAAGAACCACTGTCCTAGGAATTGTGTTTGACTCAAAAGCATCAATAGCTGCACTTTTCTATGAAGAAGGAGATCTCTTAGACAGTTTTGTAAAGTGGCTACAAAAAGAGATAAAAATATCAGCATGTAACACATCCAGAATAAAAGTAACAGCAAAAACAAAACGCACCATTTAAGCAAAAATGTAGATGTTAATCTCACACTCAAAATGTGGGTATCAGGCAAACCTTTCTGCAGATAGCATTCCACACTTCGAAAGACCTTTTCTGGAGCAGGAACCCTCTTGCCTCATTTTGCTGTGGCATCTTATAGTCCCAGAACATGAGAATAGATATTCCTTGAAATCCTTAAATTTCATCTTTCAACCCAGTGGTGGGATTCAAATAATTTAACAACTGGTTCTCTGCCCTAATGATTTCTTCCAACAACCAGTTCACCAAACTGCTCAGAAAGTTAACAACCGGTTCTCCCGAAGTGGTGCGAACTGGCTGAATCCCACCACTGTTTCAACCCTATATTCATTTTGAAAATGGTTTAGACCTCCAGATTCAGTGAATAGATAAATTCTTCCATCACAAATAGCCAGCCCATGTTACATCTTTTTTCTTGTAAATAGCTGCATGAGTTGGATGAAGGATGAGCAAATAGCAAGTGGCTAAACAGGAACTATTACAGGATGACCACCTGAGGTACACTGGGAAATCTTCCCACTGTTTATAAGAACAAGACTATTACACTATGTTATCTCTCTTCCTCAGATGTATATTTTCTGAGTCAGCACTCATTGTATTTTCCAGACTGCCCATGACAGGTTGGGAAAGGGGTGGGGGGAGCTGTCATGTGTTTCCAGATAGTGACCTTAGTCAGTGAATGGCTTTTGAGCAGAGCAACAAGTTCAGCTGCGCTTGTAAAATAGTCAGTGGCTATTTAGCATCCTTGACACTCAAAGTGGTAATAAAGGAAATAAAGAAGGAGAAGAAGCTGTTTAAGCAACTCATGAGAAAAGAACATATTGGAAGTGTTCAAAGGGCGAAATAGTATCACACTGCATTTCCACACTGCATTGGAGGAAGAGCAGCAATCTGCCTGAAGCTCTCAGCTCTTTGGTGTTACCATCAATGGCATTCCATGGTAGAACTGTCTCCTTTTTCTTCTCAATCTGGGTGGCAAACTTCATGGCACAAGGCACAATTCTTCTGAAAGGTATGTTACCATAAACTGCTAGTTTTTCAACATATTCTGTCTTGCACCAAGGAAAGGTATCTTTTACACAAAATTGCAATATTATAAGGTATGGAAAGGAACACAGTTCTTTCCAAGACCAACAGGGTTGTTTGTTTGTTTGTTTGTTTGTTTGTTTGTTTGTTTGTTGATTGATTGATTGATTGATTGATTGATTGATTGATTGAAAGAAACATTAAAGAACCTTACGGCACCTTAAAGTCTAAGGAAAGTTTAATGACTAAAGTTCTAGCAAAGTTGTAGCAATTGATCCTCAATCTGTTCAGGTGATGAAGATCACTAGCCATTTTTGTTTCTCAAATTGGAAAACCGTAGTTAGGAAGAAGATGCTGTGCAAACTAGCAAAGTGTAGTTGCAATGTGCAGGATGAATTTTATTTAATTCATTTATTTTTGCTCATTCAAATGCCCTTTGCTGGTTGGTACAGTTGGTACAGTGTCTCCTTTCTAACAAAAATATGTCAGTTTAAGATAAGGATGGAATTTTCATGGACTAGAGCTAATTTTGTCATGTGGTTGAAGGACTGTGGTAAATTAGGAGGCGTGGAGGAGAGAAGAGGCATGAATAGGGGGTGTCAAGCGAAAACATTATGAAACAACTTTCTGTTCTGAGCACTTCCCGAATGAAAAATAATAACATTTCATATTAAAAAAACAAGTACCTTGGATATTTAGAATGTGTGTGCTTCAAAGTGATATATCATAGTTCCATCATATAGTGAGATGAGAAATATATCTTTCATCAACCTTTGGTAGTCTGAAGGGCGTCTTCAAAGCTTTCATCAGCTTATTTTGTAAATCCCATAAAGGGGCATTGTCAGGGATTTCTCAAGGTTGAATACATGGTTTGGCCCACACCAAGCTGTTTTTGCTCAATCCCACTACTCAGATCTCATAGAGTATGATAGTTTTGGTAGAGAGATAGGTACCACACCAAGTTCTCTAGGAAATTAATCTGATGTTTGAAAACAGCTCTTCCCTGTCCTTATCTGACGTTCAAACCCACCTTCTCCAACTGGTTGTCAACTGGATGCATTGGGCCACAATCCCTCCACCAATTGAATGCATAATGCTGTTCTAAGTATTATACCGATTGGATCCTATAAGTAGAGACCTACATCTAAAGTATCCATGCAGGACTACCATCTGTAACACCTGAGGATCTCTGTCACTCGCTTGAATATTAATGAATCAGGACTGAGTAAAGGTACATATTTTGTAATGCAAATAAATATACAAATATTAAATATCCATTAGTGATTGTTTTGATATATTTCTGCTTATTTGCAGATATTCACATGTCAAACTGCAGAATTGTGGGTGTAACACTTGTTGCGAATAAGAATAAAATTGATTTTAGTTTTGCTGAAGCAGAACCAGTTTGCAGGCAGCTGGGATTAACGCTAGCACACAAATCCAAGATTGAAGCTGCTTGGAAGCATGGCTTTGAAACTTGCAGGTACGGAAAACCTTTCCAACATTTACTTTTAAACGTTTTATGCTAACGTACGTACAGATTACCCTTTTTAATACCATTTTTAAAATAAAATATCATTATTATTACTTTTTTTATTATTATTATTTTTAAATTTTGATTTATATGCCGCCCTTCTCCAAAGACTCAGGGCGGCTTACAATGTGTTAAACAATAGCCTTCATACTTTTGTATATTTTATACAAAGTCAGTTTATTGCCCCCACAATCTGGATCCTCATTTTACCTACCTTAGAAAGGATGGAAGGCTGAGTCAACCTTGAGCCTGGGGAGATTCGAACTTGCAGTAATTGCAGGCAAATGATGTTAATAACAGTGCTTTAGTCTGCTGTGCTACTCAGAAATAAATCAAGATTAGAAGCATGCAGACAACTAAAAATTAAATAGCCCCCCTTATTCTTAAAGCAGAAAATGTTGATTATTTATTCCCAAATTAAATTTATTTCCTTTTTTTCTCCACAGATTCATATACATAGATTTAAAACCATTATGTATATTATTTGTGTATAAATATGAATGTGACTTCAGATAAGCACTTGAAGTTCACTTAAATGTATACCAAATAATGTGCAACTTTTGCCTCCTTGAAACAGAAACTGTCTATGCCAGGGCTGTCAAACTCCCGGCCCACGGGCCAGATGCGGCACGCGCTGGCTACGCCCGGTTTAGCGAAGGGGAAAAAAGTCCCAATACATCACGTGACACCGCCGTGATGACATGAGTTTGACACCCCTGGTCTATGCCTATCACAAACTTCTTGAAATTTTCTTCAGTTTTCCAAAGGATGAATAATCCTGTGTCATTGAAGGTTGCTTTTCACCACACCTAACCTGAACATTTAAAAAAAAAAAAAACTTTTTCCACAAATGATTCAAGCTGTGGATTACACTTGGCATTTGAATAAAGTGACTAATGCAAAGTCCTTCAATTGAAAATGAATTGTCAAGACAAAAACAAACATCTACTGATTTTAATTTAAATTAAAATAAAATTAATAGCACTCATTATTATTTACCATATATTTCATAGCTTTCCCCTTTTGAAAAATGAAAACCTATAACTTTTGGAGAGACTATGAAGACCACAGCCAAAGGTTTATGGGAGGAAACCTCTGACTGTGGACTCCAAATTTTAACCCTGAAAAGAATAATTTCCTTCTGAGTAAATAAAAGTAGGCTGAGAAAGTAACCTCAAATATGATATTGTTAGCTTCAGGACTGAACAAGGAAGGTGGAATCATAAAACCAAAGAATAATATTGGGGAAGAATACTAGCTAGGGAATTCTGGGAATTGAAGTCCACAAATCTTCAAGCTTCCAAGGCTGAGAAACACTGTTTTATACAATACTGTATATATAAACTTTGAAATATGACACTTCATTGTTGCTAATGTCATATATCTAACAGGAAAAAAATGCTTTTCACTCTAGTTATGGCTGGGTAGCAGAAGGCTATGCTGTAATTTCTCGGATAACTCCAAATGAAAAATGTGGGCAGAATAAAACTGGGATTCCCATCTGGAGAATGCCCGCGGACAGGAAAGTTCGTGTTTATTGTTACAATTCTTCAGGTAAGTGGGATGAGATATGGATTATAATAATATTTAGTATCAGAATCCCTCCTAAAAGAGTTAAGATAATAATAATTGTAGAGATTTCCATACCAATTTATGGCATTCCAATGTACACAACTTCAGTGTACAATAACTTCCTGGGAAGCCTGAGGAACTCAGAAACTACCAGTTAAACTATTAGCAAATCAGCTAAGCCACTGTGAACAAGTTTACCTGTTTTTTTTCCCCTTAGTCAAAGTTTGTAGCATGGAAGAGCATTATGAAATTTAAATTGCTTTACATGTGATCAAAATACCGTATACTGTTAAAAAGTTATACAGGTACTCCTCAACTTACAACCACAATTGAGCCCAAAATTTATGTTGCTAAGTGAGAAATTTGTTAAATGAGTTTTGTCCTATTTTACAACTTTTCTTGCCACAGTTATTAAGTGAATCACTGCAGTTGTTAAATTAGTAACATAGTTGTTAAGTGAATTTGGCTTCCCCATTGACTTTGCTTGCCAGAAGGTCACAAAAAGTGATCACATGACCCCAGGACACGGCAACCTTCATGAGTCAGTTGCCAAGCATCCAAATTTTGATCATGTGACCATGAGGATGCTGCAACAGTCATAAGTGTGAAAAATGGTCACAAGTCACTTTTTTCAGTGCTGTTATAACGGTCACTAAGTGAACTGTTGTAAATTGAGGACTACCTGTATTGTATTAAGGTTAGGAATGGGTCACCATTAATATTTGCAAGAAATTCTTCTGAACTTGACTTCTGCTGGGAAGATGACCTGTTTATGGGAGTGTTCCTTCATCTACTTTGTTCCCAACTGACGGGTTGCACTTTCTGGGGGATCTGCATTTGGCCACACCACTCAGAGATAAAAAATCTGTAAAGATACATAGGATCTCTATCACAGGGCTTGGTAATCATTAATTTTACTACAGCAGTAGTTTTAATTTATTTTTTTAAAAAAAATATTCATTGCTTTGAGTAGAAGGGTGGCTTTTAAATCAGGGAAATAATGAAATTCCGTGAAAGAGCATTAAAAAAAAAGAAAACTGCAAAAACGATTTGCCCTTTAAAATAATCAAAATGGACCAGAATAAAGAATACCATAATCTCAACGTGGTGGCTCAGTGACTAAGACACTGAGCTTGTTGATCAAAAGATTGGCAGTTCAGCGGTTCGAATCCCTAGTGCCGCGTAACGGGGTGAGCTCCTGTTATTTGTCTCAGCTTCTGCCAACCTAGCAGTTCGAAAGCACTCAAAAAATGCCAGGAGAAAAATAGGGACCACCTTTGGTGGGAAGGTAACAGCGTTCCATGCGCCTTTGGCGTTTAGTCATGCCGGCCACATGACCACCGAGACGTCTTCGGACAGCGCTGGCTCTTCGGCTTTGAAACAGAGATGAGCACCGCCCCCTAGAGTTGGGAACAACTAGCACATAGGTGCGAGGGGAACTTTTACCTTTACCTTAATCTCATTTATACTTGCAAGGAACCTAGAGTTCCTATATTGTCATCTGAAATTCTCTCCATAACTTATCTCAATGGCATCAATTGATGGAGAAGTACATCTCCAAATTATGGGGGCCTTCAGTACCTCTCTGGAGATAGAATTTGGTCACTAGGGTGGTAATGTACTTTCTGAGACCTCAGGAAGCATAAAAAAAAAAAAACCTCAAAGCTATTTCTGTTTAACTCCAAATAAAGAGAAAAACCATAAAGAGTTTTCCTGGATGGCACTTGCTTGAAACACGAAAGATATGCCACTAGAAAATGGGAAAGTAGGCCATAATTTCATTCATAGGACATATGCCTAGCCTTGCTGAACACAGTTCTCCTAAGAACTCTTTTAGGTAAAAACGTATAGAAAATGATTTGACATTGGAGTACTGAATGTTTTGGTCTGTCTATTTTAAAAGGGCAACCTAGACATGATCCTAATACTAATTTTTAAACTATAAACTGTCTTTTAAAGAGACATAATATCCAGTTTTGGTCACCATACTATAAAAAAAGATGTTGAGACTCTAGAAAGAGTGCAAAGAGCAACAAGGATGATGAGGGGACTGGAGGCTAAAACATATGAAGAATTGTTGCAGGAACTGTGCAGTGCCTAGTCTAGTGAAGAGAAGGACCAGGGGAAACATGATAGCAGTGTTCCAATATTTGAGGGGTTGTCACAGAGAGGAAGGGGTCAAGCTATTTTCCAAGGCACCTGAAGGCCAGACAAGGAATAATGGATGGAAACTGATCAAGGAGAGATTCAACCTAGAAATAAGGAGACATTTTCTGACAGTGAGAACAATCAACCAATGGAACAGCTTGCCTTCAGAAGTTGTGGGTGCTTCATCACTGGAAGCTTTCAAGAAGAGACTGGACAGCCATCTGACAGAAATAGTATAGGCCAGGGTCTCCTGCTTAAGCAGGGATTGGATAGATGACCTGTAAGGTCTCTTCCAACTCTGTTATTCTATTCTATTTTAAGGAGTCTGATTTAATAACAAACAAACAACTATGGTTTTTGTCATGGCTGTTCATGGTAACAGGCATGTTTATAATATAATGCAGAACCCAATGATCCTTTTGGCTTTTTCACAGAGACTCATAGCAATATCACAATACAGCTGTCATTTACATCCTATTCAGTTCATTAAAACGTGTCATCACATTTCCTGTCAGGGACTGACATCAAGAACATTGCAAGGGCCATTTCCCTCCCTCACTGCAAATATTAAGATAGCATAGTCATTCTGGTATTGTAATAGTTGTCAAGCAAAATAAAAGATTAAAGTTTGATCTTTAAAATAGGGATTGTTTAATCTGTCTAATTCGTTTTGGGGTGTCACTAGTCAATCAATAATCACCAGTCTCTAATTATTTAATCTCAGTAGTCCTTTATACATAGTATATTGTGATATATACCTTACAGCAAGATCATTTAAATCGAGATTTTTCTACCAATGCTATCTGTAACTTTTGGAATCCCTATTTTTCCTGGCCAGAGGATCAAACTAAATGCACTGTTAATTGTGCCGATGCCATTAATGTGCATGATTCTGTTCTCCTGTACATACATTTGTCATCAAGAACAGAAAGTAGAACCTGGGAAGTATGAGAGACCTTCTCTTATTTCCATAGAAAATCACTCTGGTCTCCAACCTCACAACTGAATTTTCCTACTAGTCTGATTAATCGCATATTTTAAGAAAGGAAACATACCAGACAAAGCCATTTAGCTTTCTATGGTCTTGAGAAAGCATGCTTAGTTTTTATTTACCTTTTTGGGGAAGGAGACAGAGTCAGTAGTTTATTGTGTTATTTTGACAACCACAGAGAGAATAAAAAAATAATCAATATAGTGGTTGCACCATGTGATTAAAACCCCTCTTTCTTTTATTGTGCACTGGTGAGGTGGGGGCTTTGAACATATAATTGTGGCCATTATCTTTATTTTATTTTTTTGGATTTGTTGCTGATGCTTCTATTTTTTCTGATAGCCCCCTCAATTTTCTAATCTTGTCAACACTTACCACTTTTGTATTGGAAAAGCAACAACGTGAAACACTGGTGTGTGCATGTGAGTGTGTGTGTGTGTGTCTGTGTGTCTGTGTGTCAGCAGTGGGTTGCTACCGGTTCACCTCGGATCGGGCGAACCAGTAGCGGCAGCAACGGGAGGCTCCGCCCACCCACCCAGATGCTTCTGCACATGCGCAGCACGCACGCGCCCACGAGTGAACCATTAGTGACAGGTTTTGAAACCCGCCCCTGCTGTCTGTGTGTGTGTGAGAGAGAGAGATTTTGACAGCGTGATGTTTGATTGTCTTTCCAATATCAAAATTGCCCAACAATAAAAATTGCAAATGTAAATGAATAATAAAATAGGAAGGGACCTTGGAGGTCTTATAGTCCAACCCCCTGCTCAAGCAGGAAACTCTATATCATTTCAGACAAATGGTTGTCCAGTTTCTTTTTAAAAATCTCCAGTGTTGGAACACCCACAATTTCTGGAGGCAAGTCTTTCCACTGATTAATTGTTCTAACTGTCAGGAAATTTCTCCTTAGTTCTAGGTTGCTTCTCTCACTGATTAGTTTCCATCCATTGCTTTTTGTCCTGACTTTAGGTGCTTTGGAGAATATGGTTGACCCCCTCTTCTTTGGAACACTGCTTAGATATTGGAACACTGCTACTATGTCACCCCTTCTTTTCATTAAATTAGATATACCCAATTTCTGCAACATGTTTTAGCCTCCAGTCCCCTAATCATCTCTACACTCTGCTCTCATTTTTTTTATATATCGTGGCAGCCAAAACTGAATGCAATATTTCAAGCGTGTTCTTACCAGGGCATTATAAAGTGGTATTAATACTTCACATGATCTTGATTCTATCCCTCTGTTAATGCAGCCTAGGACTGCATTGGCTTTTTTGGCAGCTCCAGCATACTGCTAGCTCATATTCTACTAGGGCTCCAAGAATACCCTCGCAGTTACTACTATTGAGCCTATTCTATACCCCTGCATTCCTTTTTTCTTGCCTAAATGTAGAACCTTAACTTTTCTCACCATTGAGTGTCATTTTGCTAGAAAGGGCCTAGTGTTCAAGTCTATCAAGGTCTTTCTGTAGCTTGAGCCTACCTTCTGGAGTGTTGGCTATTCTTGCCAGTTTGGTGTCATCTGCAAATTTGATGAGTTCCCTTTCTATCCCCTCATCTAAATCATTGAAAGAAAAAAAATGAAGACTTCTGGGCCTAAGTGTGAGAAAGGTTGAGCATAAGGTTTGTTTAGAAAATGTCACTGGGCTGAATTCAACCAACATCTGGATATCTACCATATCCAGATGCAGAAATTAAATGAAATTACTTTATACTGATCTAAATGAATCCTGTCCTATTTAGAAACCATCAGTGGAACAGGGAGGAAGAATTATGACAGCAGCTTCTTCCAGAACTTAATCTTATTGGGATAAGCCTAACAAAGAGTTAAGTCTGACAGATACTTCAACATCAGATCTCTCTGAGCAAATCTAATAGGATTGCTCTATTACTCTACAATAGTACCCAACCCTGACTGCTCTTTAGAAGGCCAGATCCTGAAGATGAAACTCAAATACTTTGGCCACCTAATGAGAAGGAAGGACTCACTGGAGAAGAGCCTAATGCTGGGAAAGATTGAGGGAAAAAGAAGAAAGGGACAGAGTGGCTGGATGGCTGGATGGAGTCACTGAAGCAGTAGGTGTGAGCTTAAATGGACTCCAGAGGATGGTAGAGGACAGGAAGGCCTGGAGGAACGTTGTCCAGGGGGTCACGATGGGTCGGACATAACTTTGCAACTAACAACAAAGTACCTTTTAGCTATGTAGAATAACACTTAGTAAGATGTCCCCTGCATTTTGTTATTTTTTTAAAATGTGCATCAAATAGCATCAACAAATCTCACTGCACTGTTTTCTTGTCCTCTTTTCAGATACGTGGATTAATTCATGCATCCCAGAAGAAAGCACAGTTTCATTACCAGACAGTTCCACTGAGATGAATTCCACTTTAACAGTCTCGTTTCCAGATACCTCTGCAGGGGTTGACACAACTCAGTTACAACAAACCCAAAAGCCCCCGAAGTATCGCATCATATGTGTAACAGAAACGTTGCCACCTGAACCTATTCCCGAGAAGGAAAATCGGCTTTTCACTGATAAACGAACTGCCTTTAAAAATGAGGGTGTTCCATTTGGAGGTAATAGCCATACGAGGTGTTTTGAGTCTCATGGTTTTAGGTTAGAGAGAGGACAAAGGAACATCTCAGGTTTAAAACTTTTGCTGGCTTAGAAGGGAATTTAAAAAGTGTGCTCTTGAAGTGGTAAGATGAATCAAACCACGATAACCAGAAATGTAGTCTTTTCCTTTTGACATGTTTCAACCCACCAATTCTACAATCCAAATAAGGCAATGGAGAGCTGCTCTAACATAGTGAGTGGCTGGAGAGTTGCTACTCCAAATCTTAAATCTGGATGCACTAAGTTGCTACTTTCCCTCAGGCTTCGACATTTCTCTTCCAGCTACCTGACTTACAAGATAGATATTTGACAAGAATCATAAGTAGATAATGTACACGAAGAGCTTTAAATATACCAAAGTAGTACAAGGAAGTATTATTAGTTGGATTTTTTTCCTCTCAACTAGAAAACTCTATATAATTCAATTAGGGTCTACATAACAAAAGGTCTGAAATCTAAGAATTTTTTTTTTTGTTTTCCCCAAGATTTGGGCCATGTTATTATTGTCACTTCTATCCCTCCTACTACTTACTATTAATATTAAACTGGCAGCTGTTCTATGTTAAATGACTCCTTAGTCAGCCTCCTGTACCGGTTTCATTTCTAAGAATGCTCTGAATACATTCAGAAAATGGAAATGAGTGACTAACAAACAGTGAGTCTGTACACCTGAAAAACCTCAAAAGTATCTTGGAAAGTGCTCTGGCATAATAAAGGGCATGGGGAGGATGCCTTTCAGCCAGCATGTTGACTCCTGGCAACTATCTGGACAAATCCCTACAGTTTTCTTAGCAAGAATTCAGAAGTAGTTTGCCATAGCCTGTTTCCTACGGCTGAGAGAGAGTGACTGGCCTAAGGTCACTCAGTTGGTTTTCAAGCCTCAGGTGGGACTAGAACTCACAGACCTCTGGCTTCTAGCCTGGTGCCTGCACCACTATACCAAATTATTATTTTATTATTTATTATTTTATTTTATTTATATACCGCCCTTCTCCCGAAGGACTCAGGGTGGTGAACAGCCATAATAAAACAGTGTTCAAAATAGAATTTAAAAGCAGATTAAAATAATTAAATCATAGGCCGAATTTAAAACTCTCATTTAAAACCCCATTAAAACCAAATTAAAACCAAAATTGGCTCTCTAACAAACGACACTGATCATTTTTGATATGGTATGGATTTGTTAGCTGTAGGTTGGTTTTTTGTGTCACGCATGTTGAAAAGAATACCTTTGGACACTGAAACTCAAACAATCTATTCCACTACCTTAGGTTTTTCAGCAGGTTACACTGATATTAGCCTCACCACTTTGTCTTCAGGAAAGGGATGTTTTGTTATTAGTTTTTTTTTTTTTTCACAGTAAGCAATTCTAGCTAAAGCAGGGGGAACCTTCTAAGCCATAAAAATATTTGTCTTTTTTTCACCCAAGACCTTGGACAAAATTATTGGTTTCAAAGGTTTTTTGTTTTTTTTCAAAGTAATAGCAACATTACTAGTAGCTGCCTCTTTAAATTCTAGTATTAAAAAAATCTAAAATTAAAAATTCTTCAATTTCACTTGGTGAAAATAAGCACAAACAGCAGGAATGTTCCAACTAGTAACTATATTGTGCAGTCAGACAATAGTTAGCTAAGAACAAATTACTGAATGGAGATGTGCATCCATGCCATGAGGGAGGAGGGGTTGACGAGCACATTCACAACTAAATTGTGGCAATGTCCAATGCAACATTAAAACCAAATTTGGTCTGTGTTTAATTGTTGATAAATAAACAAGGCTACAAAACTAATCTTGAAACCAGAACAGTTAGATTTAATCCCAGTTCAGCTCCAGTAATAAATTATGCTTAATAAGATAACAGAATTGGAAGGGACCTGGATGAAGTATTCCAAGTATGGTCTTACCAAGGCATTATAGAGTGGTATTAACACTTCATGTGATATTGATTCTTGAGCCTTGGGTTGCTCCACTGTATACTTCCCTCCATGTTTACTTGCTAGTTTCTTCTTGTTTGTGGGCTTGTACGTAGAGTGAAGCAGAAATATATTGAAAGAAAAACCCAGCTACTCAAGGCTTAAAATTCTGCAAAGGAATCCTATTGCAGCATCCAACCAATTCTGGAGAAATGGTGTAAATTCTTCTGCCATTGGAGTCACATCTATGAACAATGGAGGGGGGGAAAAGGCACTTTGAATTTTCTTCCAGAAAATATTAATGCTGCAACCAGAAATTGGTAGCCTTGGTAGTACAGTGGTCTAAGGCACCCTGTTATTAAGCTGGTTATTAAGACCAGATGCCTGCAATTACTGCAGGTTCGAATCTCGCCAAGGCTCAAGGTTGACTCAGCCTTCCATCCTTTCTAAGGTAGGTAAATTGAGGACCCAGTTGTGGGGGCAATAAGCTGACTTTGTATAAGTATACAAAAGAATGAAGGCTATTGCTTAGCGCATTGTAAGCCGCCCTGAGTCTCCGGAGAAGGGCGGCATATAAATCAAATTAAAAAAAATAATTGTTGAGTCTCCAAGATTTCAAAGTTACATCTTTCTTCTTTCCAGCTGTACCAATCGTGCTTCTGGTGCTTGCCCTCTTCTTCTGTGCAGCTGCATTGGTTTTAGCTGTCTGCTATATCAAAAAGTAAGTAAAACGTGCTGCTTTGCACATACATGCATTTCTACCAGCAACATATATGTAGATGCTAATGCTATCTTTTCATATGTAATAGGTTCTTCTCATTGTATAGAGAATATTTTTAAGTCACCAATTAGACCAATAATTTTAATCATTAAATATATTTATTCATGCCTTCTTATGCAGCATAAATATACTGTAAGTAAGGCATACTCATATATGAATGTATAACGTATGTTCAGATAGAAAAATCTGCAATTTGGCAACAGTGCAGTGGCAGTGAGTAAATATTTTTTCTACCATCTCTTAATTAAAAACAATCAAAGCGGTTTATGGTAAAACCTTATTTCTATCATAGCAGATGACAAGGCTTTCAGAAAAACGTTTCTGAAAAATTAATTGCTGACACATTATGGTCTTATCTTAATTTAATATATTATGGACCTATACTGTATTGTCCACATAATTTATACACACACACACACAGACACACACACACACACACACACATATATATACACATGTACACACACACACGTGTGTGTGTGTGTGTGTGTGTGTGTGTGTGTTATATGTAAAATCAAGAGTCCACCCAACTATAATTGATAGATATAGATATATAGGTAGATATACGCTGATGCTTTATTTAAACTAAATTTGTGTTACAGTGATTGCATGAGCTTTGTAGATGCCATATGCTAAATAAATAAATAAATTACTGACACAGCATTTCAAGCAAGTGCAACTCAAGATACAATAATGGCTTTCATTTCTAGAATTTCTGTAGAGAGATTAATTGTTAATCAACTTTGTTTTTCAATTTGACGAAAGATACAAGAAAACATCTCTATTTTCAAGCAAGGAGAAGAAAGATGAAATAGAAACCAAGAACATCAAAGAACTAAATGCAAAAAACCAAACTCCAGAGCAGGGCCTAAAGAATGGAAAAAAGGAAGAAGTGGAAGTCAAGTCTGAACCACCAGTAAAATGTTTGGAAGCAGAAGTTTAAGACAGAGCATCTCAATGAAAGATGCTGCAAGAACAAATGGCAGAAACTAACAGTTTATACATCGATAATTGTATATATTGCCGAAGTCAGTATCAGGCATGTCATGCAAACATTTCTTACCTCATATATCTTAGCTTATACATTGTCAATATAGGAATAACACCTATACAGCTAATATTTTCAGTTTTGTTACAAGCCTTTTTAGGGAGGAAGCGATGATATTTTTCCAAAACATGAATTCAGACATGCAACTCAAACAAACAAATAAAAATGGATATATATATATATTGTTATACAAAGGATTTCATGGAGAAACTTGAATATATGAACTAGATATAACGGAGAAACTGTTACTGTATTTTTCAAATGATGGTAACTTTAAAATATGTCTTTACTGAGAGGTTATCACAGAAGTTCAAAAACATAAAGTGATGGAAAAGAACAAAGGGAAATGTCTGATTCACATGCAGATGAATCCAGAACAAATTGTTACATAGCCATAAAAATTTTATGTTTCTTATTCCAGTCTCTGTGTCTCTTCCTACCTTCTTTCCAGAAATCTAACAAATCACAAACTATCAATTTTAAATATGGGAAAAAGATAAAAAAAATGATAGCAACAAAATCTATTAATTATATTTCTTTTTTCCATGCATGCCATAGTCATGTTTATTTCAAAAATATACAGCCCAATCATATGCATGTTTACTTAGAAATATGTTCCATTCTGTTTCCTAAACTTACCATCTAGTATGTTCAAAACTGCTATATAAAATATCTCTGTAAATTGATTGTTGTGGCTGTTACCATAATATACATGCGAATACATTTATCAGGATTTCATTGAAATAAACAAAAATTGCATAATTATTTAATACTGTAAATTGATACAAAAAATTACATATATACTCATCTTTTTCAACAGCTGAATTTGTTCATAATTACTTTCTAATGATGGACAGATTCATCTGAAAAACTATAGAAATAAATTTGATATTATATGGAGAACTTCTAGAAATACATGAAAAACCACATTCATGCTTTTAACTACGTTCCCTGAAAAATCATTTCATTTTCTACTTATATTACAAGTATATTCATTTCAAATACAGTAAGTACAGTGGAGTTCAATAGGACTTACTTTCTAAATTAGTGTTTTAAGATTTTAGGTTTAAAGAAGCCTAAATGTTACTGCTTTAGTTACACCATTTTTATTGAATTGGATTTGGATATTTGTAAAAAAACATAAGATGAATTTCTTGGCTATGCTTACCCAAGAAATCCATAGGTACATGGCCTGTAAGGGATATATTACAGGGACTGTGCTGCTAACATTCCTTTTTATGTAGCCCTACCAAAAAGTTGTTTATTTCTTTTACATTATTTATTAATGTAAAATCTAAAGTGAGTAGCCAGAGCTAGTAATCAGATTTGTCTGAAAGAAAAAACGCTTAGTGAAATCAATCTGCTTTAATATATTTGCTCAGAAATAATCATAGGCAGAAAATATTTGGAGCAATTAAAGAAATATTACAGGTAGTCCTTGACTTATAATAGTTCATTTAATGACCATTCAAAGTTACAACAGCACTGAAAAAAGTAACTTATGACCGTTTTTGACACTTATGCACCAAGACAAATTCCTTGTGTGTCCAATCACACTTGGCCAATAAAAATTCTATTATGACCATTGCAGCAGCCCCGTGGTCACATGATCAAAATTCATATCCTTAGCAACTGGTTCATATTTATGACAGTTGCAATATCCTGTGGTCATGTGATCACCTTTTTTGACCTTCTGACAAGTAAAGTCAATGGAGAAGCCAGATTCATTTAACAACTTTGTTACTAATTTAACAACTGTGGTGATTTACTTAATAACTGTAACAAGAAAGAATGTAAAATAGGGCAAAACTCACTTAACAAATGTCTTAAGAACAGAAATTTTGCACTCAATTGTGGTCATATGTGAAGGACTACCTGTATTGGTTCAGGTACATAATTCTTCATGCCATGTTAAAATAATTAGCTTAAATAATCAATGGTAAGATTCAACTTTTCGTGCCAGGAAAGGAACAGTTCCACACACATTTGTGGGCCAAGTGGAAATGAATTAAAAGCTTTCTATGAGAAAAGGCCATAAAATAATTTTTGTTATTCTTCATGCTGTTTCAGTTCTGTCAATAGAACCTATGTCTTGAGTCGGATCCATGATTGTGATGGATAGGATATAATTTCTGTACAAAATCATAGGAAATCAAACCTGTGTTTCTTGCACCACAGATGTATCAAAAGCTGTCAGATCCGCCAGACTGATGAAAAATGGTGATTTTAGGTGAATCCTGTATAAAACATAAGCATCAGATCAAACATCAAAACCTTTGGATCCACGAGAGTTCACTGCTAATACAGAAACGACATGCAATTTAATGTTGGTTTATAAGGACTTCTTTTAAAAAATCATGGAAAAGCAAGGCAATCTGACTGAGTTTTAGAAGCACTTTTGTGGCATTGGCTAATTGGTGTAAAAAACCTCAGAACAATGTTAGGGTTCGATGCATGTACGCAGACTGGAAATTAATCTTTTGCCTGGTTTTCCCACCACGTTGTCTCCAATAAACGTGTCTTGTAGGATTGCACTGGGAATGACCCCAAAGGTGCTTTTTCAAGAGGAGACTGGACTTTCTTGTTTTTCTTTGAAGAAATTTCGCTTCTCATCCCAGAAGCTTCTTCAACTCTGGATGAGAAATGAAACGTCTTCAAACACACACACAAACACATACACGAAAGTCCAGTTTCCTCTTTGAAAAAGGACCTTTGTCACACACAGACACAGATACACACAGAGAGACATAGAGAGACATAGACACACACACACACACACACAAAGTCCAGTCTCCTCTTGAAAAAGCACCTTTGTCGCACACAAACACACACACACACAGAGAGAGAGACACAGACACAGACACAGACACACACACACACACACACACACACACACAAAGTCCAGTCTCCCCTTGAAAAAGCACCTTTGGGAAAACCACGACCTGGATGACATCTAGGCAATGACAATCCTTTCAGAGAATCCTCCCGGAAAATCACGACGGACCAATAGTCCGACTCTTAACTTTTTCCCCCTCTTATATTTAGAAAACGTTTTGCAGACTGTAAAAAAAACAAAAAAAAAAACAGACGGCGAAGAACCATTCTCGGGAAGTTACCCTCGAAACCCTCGCGGCAGTTCGGCTATTTTCGACGTCCTGGCAAGGAAAAGTAGGAAGCGAAGCTTCAAGTCGTCAGCTGAGCGCGACGGGATTCACCCTGGTCCGTTAATGTCGCGTCTTGACGTCATGCATTCTACTGGGCAGGCGGAGCGGGTCCGTAGACTCGGCGCCCGAAGTGGGGCGGAGGGGGGTGGGCGGAGCCATTGCTGGCGGTCGGAGTCTGTTGCTGCGAATTCGGAGCAGGATGTTGGAGCGTCAGCGGTGAGGGCTGCCGCGGAGAGTTTGGCTTGTTATGGGCCTTGAACCCGGGAGGAGGAGGAGGAGGAAGGGGGGCGGGGGGGGTGTCTCTTCCCTTGCAACCAGAGCTCGAGTTAAGCCAACAACAAAAGGGAAAACGGGATTGGAGGGTGGGGTGTGTGGTCGTGGCGTGAGCCATAACGAAGTGGTTGCATTAAAATGTTAAGATTTTATTATTCACATTTTCATGAAGGTTATATGAGCGTTTAGCATGTCCCTGTCCTCCCCCCCCCACCCCGCTCTCTTCTCCCATTTCCTTCGATATGCAAACACTGGCCCTTTTTCGGGGACTGGGAATCAAATACTGGGCTGCGTTCTAAAGCCTGGGAGATGGCAATGGTAGTTTAAAGGTCTTTTCTCACGCCCGTCGGATGCAAAGGCAACCCTGTATAAAGGTGTATACCCTGTAAAATAACCCTAAATCGCCCCCACCCCACCCATCTACCCTTAATAAAGCCTTCTTCTTTTTTTTTTTTTGACGTTGGCTGAGATCCACTTTGCAAGGCGCTGGGTGTGTTTCTCTCCCAAAATTCAGGGACTTTGTTTCTTTCCAACTCAGCCCAAGCTGCCTGAGTTTTAGGGGCAACAGAGCAGGTTCCCCACATGGAGGTTTGGGGCTTGTTGGTTTTCTGCTACTATTAGGCCAGGGGTCTCCAATCTTGGCAACTTTTAAGACTTGTGGACTTCAACTCCCACAATTCCTCAGCCAGCTTTGCTTTAAGATTTATGGACTTCAACTCCAGCTTTGCTGGCTGAGGAATTATGGGAGTTGAAGTCCACAAGTCTTAAAAGTTGCCAGGATTGGAGACCCCTGTATTAGGCTCAAGAGGACCAGCCCTGCCTCCCTGTGTATTACCTTGCCTATTGCCTCTTCTGAGTGAGCTAAAAAACATAAATCAGGTATAAGTGGAGTTCCTTGAGTTTTGTGAATAGAGAAGCACTTTTTCTGGGTAGTCCAGGACTATCCAGGATTCGTGCTGACGATGTTACCTAGTTTTTGGTCATGGAATGTCTGCAAGGGAGCATCGAGGGCTCCTCCGTTCAGCAGCCTCTGCAAGGAATCAAGTTTGTTTACGTTTTTAATTCAATGTTTGTGACGCCCCCAAGGGAGTTTGACGGATACCCTAACTAATATTTCTTGATGGCTTAGCAGCTGGCCCACCTTGTCTAAACAACAAAAGCTCAGCTACGGCTAGGCTGGGTTGGGTTAAGATTGGGGCCTGTAGGTTTGTTTAACCAGAAAGTTGGGAAACCTGTCTCAGAAATAAGCAGTGGGAAACTTATGTTTTAGTGCAGTCACATCAGCAGCTGAGCAGGACTTGAAGGCGATTATATTGCCCGTATAGCAACATCCGGGGTTGGTTTAGAGGAGGGGTGTCAAACTCTATTTCATTGAGGGCCGCATCAGAGTTGTGTTTGAGCTCAGGAGGGAGGGCGTGGCCAGCTCGAAGTGTCGGGGGCACCTGCAAAAGGGGAAACATTTCTCGTTTTGTTTTTGTTTTGCTTTTAGTTTGTTCTTCTAGGCCACTGTCAGTAAAAACAGAGTTCAGGGAGATGTGTTGCCCCCCCGGCCCCCATTTTTAGCCGCAACGGCCTCCTGCAGCCCTCTGCCAGCAAAAATGGAGCTTTGGGGGGGGGGCACGCAGCCCCCTGGGCTCTATTTTCACTGGAAGATGGCTGCAAGAGACTGTTTTTGCTGACAGGGGCACCCTAACCCTTGGCTGTTTCCAGGGCGCCCTGCAGGCCTTGAGTTTGACACCCCTGGTTTAGAGAGATGAAACACTCTGGATGCTTCTAAAACATAGATACAAGTAGTCCTCGACTTACAACAATTCATTTAGTGACTGTTTGAAGTTGCAGTGGCGCTAAAAACAGTGACTTATGACCATTTTCACACTTATGACCATGGCAGCTTCCCCGTGGTGACGTGGTTTACATTCAGATGTTTGACAACTGACTCACATTTATGAGGGGTTGCAGTGTTCAGGAGTCATTTTGCGACCTTCTGACAAGCAAAGTCAACGGAGAACCCAGGTTCACTTAACAACCATGTTACTAATTTAAGAACTGCAGTGATTAACTTAGCAAATGTGGCAAGAAAAGTCGTAAAATGCGACAAATTGATTTAACAAATTTTGACTTAACAACATTGTTTTCCCGCATTTTACGATCTTTCTTGCCATGGTTGTTAAGTGAGTAACAAGGTTAAGTGAATCTATTTTCTTCATTGACTTTTCTTGTAAGAAGGTCACAAAAGGTGTTCACATGACTCCAGGACACTGCAGCTGTCATAAATATGAATCAGTTGCCAACCAGCTAAATTTTGATTATGTGACGACCATGGGAATGCTGTAACAGTCATAAGTGTGAAAAACGGTCATAAGTCACTTTTTCCAGTGGTGTTGTAACTGAGTGATCACTAAATGAACTGTTGTAAGTTGAGGACTACCTGTATCTCAATTTTGGGGGACAGCTCTGCAAAATGATACCCTATTAAAACAGGTTGCTGGAATTCTGAAAAATGCTTCTACTAAACAATACATTTATAATTTAAATTACATTTCAAACTGTAAAATTTAGGACTTTTTTAATGTTTATGTTCAAATGTTCATTTTAGAAATTAATGCTTTCAATTTTCAAGCCTTGATTTATTTACTCTTGGGCAGTTCCACTCAACCCTATGAGCAACAGAGTTATTTTATAACAGGCATTACATTTCCCTGACTTTAATATTATTACTTTTCAAATCTTTCATAATACTGTGATAATGTATCTTGTATATTGTTTTTAAATTAATGTCTATTAATAGACATTACAGTTTTACAATTTTTGTTTGGTTTTTTTAAGATTTAAGATAATTACTTTGAAATATACTCAGAAAACTCCAGCTATTGGATAGATTAAAATATATTTAGTAAAAAGTAGAATGACAAATTAGAGCATAAAATAAATTATAGTCTTTAAATTATGCACCATAAGTATAATTTGTGAGTTTTTTGCATGTCTAATATGTTCTCCTTAATGGTCAACTAAATTTTGCTGTGCATTGTTATTTTCTGCATGGTTTCACCTGAATGAATGTTATTCTCTCTCCATTTAAAAAATACTTCAGTCTACAGAGTTTTAAACATAAACTTGCAATTGTTAGTCATTATATTTTGTATTTTAGGAGTTACTAAAATAAGAGTTATTGCATTTTTAATAAAAATGTGCATTCACAGGGTGTTAATTTCCATATTGAGAATATGCTTGAGTTAGGTGTCAGTAGTATTGGATTTAATCTGTTCTGACCCAGCCTTAGCACAAACAAGAAACAGACTCCTTGTCACAAAAAAACCCTCTTTATTTTCCTCTTGTGAATTAATTGGATCCGCTCCAGTCCGGCTTCCGGCCTGGGTACAGCACGGAAACGGCATTGGTCGCGTTGGTGGATGATCTCTGGAGGGCTCGGGATAGGGGTTGCTCCTCTATCCTGGTCCTGTTAGATCTCTCAGCAGCTTTTGATACCATTGACCATGGTATCTTGCTGCACCGGTTGGAGGGGTTGGGAGTGGGGGGCACCGTTTTGTGGTGGTTCTCCTCCTATCTCTCTGACCGGTCGCAGTCGGTGTTGGCAGGGGGGCAGAGGTCAACCCCGAGGCGCCTCGTTTGTGGGGTGCCGCAAGGGTCGGTCCTCTTGCCCCTTCTGTTCAACATTTATGTGAAGCCGCTGGGCGAGATCATCCGTGGCTTTGGGATGGAGTTCCATCAGTACGCTGATGATACGCAGCTGTACATCTCCACCCCAGGCCATCTTAACGATGCCCTTGAAGTGATGTCCCGGTGCCTGGAGGCCGTGCAGATCTGGATGGGGAATAACAGGCTTCGACTCAACCCTTCCAAGACCGAGTGGCTGTGGCTTCCGGCATCCCGATATAGCCAGCTGGTGCAACTTGGGCGTCCGCCTGGATACACGGCTGTCTTTGGAAGAGCATATGACGGCCGTGGCCAGGGGGGCTTTTCATCAGGTCCGCCTGATTCGCCAGTTGCGGCCCTTTCTGGATTGGGACTCCTTACTCACAGTCACTCAGGTGCTCGTCACTTCCCGCCTGGACTACTGCAATGCTCTCTACATGGGGCTCCCCTTGAGGAGCACCCGGAGGCTCCAACTGGTGCAGAATGCAGCCGCGTGGGGGATTATGGGAGCAAGAGGGCGCTCCCATGTGATGCCTCTTCTGCGCGAGCTGCATTGGCTTCCAGTGGTCTTCTGGGTGCGCTTCAAGGTGTTGGTCACCACCTTTAAAGCGCTCCATGGCATCCCACCGACCAATACGCTCCCACAGAGAGGGACTCCTCAGGGTGCCGTCAGCCAGGCAATGTCGGCTGGCGACCCCCAGGGGGAGGACCTTCTCTGTGGCAGCACCTGCCCTCTGGAACGATTTGCCCCCGGAGATACGAAGGATACCAGATCTCCGGGCCTTTCGCTGTGCCCTAAAAACCTTTCTTTTCCATCAAGCAGGGCTGGCGTGAAACCCCCCCCCCTTTTTTAGCTCTTTTTAGTTTTTTAGCTTTTTAAGTGTAAATTGGGTTTTAATTGGATTATTTTAAATTGTGGGCCAAAGATGTATAATTCTTTTAATTGATTTTAAATTTGGTATTGGTATGTTTTTATCCTTGGCTGTGCACCGTCCTGAGTCCAATAGGAGAAGGGCGGTATATAAATTGAATAAATAAATAAATTGCATTCACCCACCAGGCATTAGTCCTTCAAGGAGTTAACAGACCTTATCAGTTCCTTGTGATAATTTTAAAGCTG